GATATATTTTCTACCCTTTGATCTTTAGTCTATTTTCATCTTTATGTCTATGGTGTATCTCTTAGTAGACAGCATATTGATGAGTCCTGTTTTCTTATCCATTCTACTACTTACTGTCTCTTGGCAGGACCCCAAAGAGTTTATTCCTGGAACTAGCACCCTGACCTCAGCCACTCTGGGCTCCAGTACAAACTAGTCTAGGTCTGGTACCATGACCCCAGAAAACATCTAGGCCATCAGCACTCCACCCAGAACCAGGAATCCAACTCTATTGCCCCTCACCTCCCACCTTGTGAGTATTTTGTCCGACAGAGGGCACTGACCCATACCAGCTTCTTATCCGCCTAACATTCATTCCATTTACTCCACTTCTCTAGCCTTTCCCTTGAAGCTCAGGATTCTAGAATCATAAGTCATATCTATTTCACTCGATCTCTCGTGTCTTTGTTGCAGAGAATCTGTACAGTGTGTGTCTGCCATCTTACCCATAGCCTTTAAGCTATGATTCTCTCGTTAAACTTAACACACAAAGTGAAAATCAAAACCAACAACTCCTGTCTTTTTTTGCTTTCAGCATCTTTGAGTTAGGTTTCTGTAAGTTACTACCCATCATCTAACAAATGGGAACCTGAAATGATACAAAGTAGAGCCCCATAAGGAAGTCTGGGTAGGACTTGGTGTTTAGTGCTGGGCTGGGTAAATTTGAAGTAGGGTTTTCAAGTTGGGAAACTGGTTGGATTTGGGCAGAGCTCATGACATAGTAGTTTCTGATTGGTGAGCATAGGGAGATGAAGGAGATGAAGCAAATCTTTTTGAGCAAGCTGTTAGTATTGATAAGTAAGTAATTTGTCTTGTCTTCTGAGGAGCCAGCATTTCCTGGAGTAAATAGCTGTCATTTTGGCTTGTTGTCAGTACTGTTTACCATATGAAACAGAAAGTACACTGGATTCCAGCATTGCTTAAGGCAAGGACAGCAAAGTATTTTGACTTCAGTTATCAGTATTACATTTTAATTACTATTAATTTTTTAATCTATTGGTATACTGCATGACAAAGTGACATTGAGTCATATGGTGACAAACGTGCTTTCTGTCTTTTAATAATTTGATTGCATCAAGAAGAAAGTAATTTCTGTTCCACTCATCTAAATTTATATTCCATCCAAACTCATTTTGCTATTTTTGGTATTTAAAAAATACTCCACTCTCACTGAGTCAGGTCCGACAATTAGTGACCTTATACAGGGTTTCCAAGTCTGTAAATCTTTCTAGGAGCATACAGCCTCCTCTTTCTCTCTTAAAGTGGCTGAGGAGTTTGAACAACCACCAGCCTTGTGGTTAGCAATTCGGTGCTTACAGGACAGTTGGATTAAACATTTTGGGGAAGTATCACCAATATTTCCCAGTGGGAATTAACCTTTGCAAAGTAGAGCAGAGTTTCAAATCTTCCAGTCTGCTATTGTCTCCTTACTTAAAATGGCAGAAAATTCAAACGGTGAAAGTTGGGTTAATGAAAGACATATAGCAAATGATGAATTCTGGATAAAATCAGTCACATTTCCATGTTTCTGGAATTCTGAATTTCTTTTAATCAATGTCCTTTTTTTAATTTAGAAAAAATGAAAAGTCAAAAACAGATAAAAGCTCAAATAAGGGTTTCTTTTCTTTTTGTAGAAAATAAAAATCTGGTGCTTTTAGTTCCTGAATGTCTTCAGATTTTCAGGTCCATATTCCTATTTTCTGACATAAATTAAATTTGATCAATGCCGCTTTAACGGCATAAATCAAATTCTCAGTGGGGGACACACTTTGTGTTACAGGCTCTTTCAGGGGGTGGGGGTGCTTCTTTCAGTTCTCTTAGCAGAAGAAAGAAAAAGTTGAATTCCGTGGAAAAGACTGTAGATTCCAAAAGTTCACTTTTATCTCATATTGTGGTTGTGAAAGCTACATTGCAATTGCAGTCTAAGCAAAAAGAATCCCTATATGGATACTTTTCAGAAACTCCACACCACCGCCATCCCCAAGATAAAACAATGTCCTTCTGACTCCAAGGATATTGGAGGAATGCCCTGATTGTGCAAGGATGAACCCCACCCTTCTCCAGAAGCCCAACACGACTCCTTTCTCCCTCAGGGCATGACTCTTGGGTTGGGAAAATCCAAACTCATTACTGTTAAGTCAATTAGAACTCTTCAGGACCTGGTGTGTCATGGGGTTCCAAGACCTTAATCTTAACAAGCAGACCATCACAGTTTTCCGCTGAGGAATAGCTGGTGGGTTCAAACCACGGATGAAGTACTTTTAAGTGGATAACACCCTCACAATGAATAAATCTTTGTTTTCTTGCTTCTGCACACTGAGGGTGTGTGGACCCACAGGAACCAAGCTTCTGTCAAGACATGCCATGATGGTGAAATAGGAAAAGTCATTTTTCCTTCCCGGCTTCCTTACCTTCAGGCCTCAGTGTGCCTTTCTGTATTCTTTCTGATGACCAATGGCACCTTTCCGTGAGATTCCAACAATGTCTGAGGCTCCTTGATAGGGGGAGTTCTGGCGGTTGGAGGTGCATCGCAATCAGTGAAAACATTCTTTGGCTTTGCTGTTCTTTGTCCCCTCGATTGTGTTCTAGAACCAAGAGTGGATGACGTTGTACCTAGAGCATGTGCTGATCAGAACTGCGTCCCAATCCTAGCTCTCAGGATGTGCTGTGCATAACATTCCCTAACTCCGCCTGTTTTAAGTGGACGTCGGGGGTCTCGTCAAAATGTGCTCTCTTCTGAGGAAAACCGCCTTGCCCTACTTCATTTTTCCTTATTAAGGGGAAGAAAGAAAGCAAGAAAAACAGTTGTTTGCTCACATATGTGTTGTCTTTGCAAATAACATAATAGAGTCGAAGAAAATCTCTCCGTCCTCCTTCAACATCCATCTCTCCATTCATCCAGTCATTCCTTCTGAGACATAGGGGCGGACTTTTTCATTAAACTCAGAAGCAATCCCTGAGCCAGAGAGCCGGGTGCCCCACAGGACCTGGCAGAAGGAGCTCTTTCCCTCTCCCCTTTCCTCTGGACAATTTCCTAAGCTTTTATCAGCATCAGTCATTCTCGGCGGCCTCAGTGGTAGTTCAGTGATCACATTCTTATCTTTTATTTATTCTTTTGATTTTGTGTTTGTTTGAGATGAATTCATCACTAAAGACTCCAAGTCCATTTCTATTTTACTTTTCTTCTCCTTTTTTAAGCCACTGTAACCACTATTTAGGTTTAAAAGATAAGGAATCTGGAGGGATTTTTTTAAGTTTAATTTTTTTAAAGAAATATACTATATACCATATAATACATAACCCCCACCTCCAATGAAATCAACAATAGCCTCTTTAACAACTTCTTGTCTCACCCCTTCCCTCCCCTCTCCCTGTTCCCACCCAAGTCCCTGACCTCCTCATAGTGTCTATGTGTTGTCTATTGGTGTACTGACCACGTTTTCTTCTTTGTTTTTCCTTATCACAGTGGCCATATCAAGTGCTTATCTTTGTAACATTGGTTGAGTTTGCTCAGCATAATGTTCTCTACTTTTGTTTGTGTCCTGTCGCTTTTGAGAGTGCTCATCGTCTTTTCTTGATGCATGAAATGCCATAGTATGGATGTCCCAGAGCTTGTTGATCATTCCTCTAGAGTTGGGGTTTGGGATTGTTTCCATGTGATTGCTCCAATAAACAGAGGTATACGTAGGTCTGTTCCTCTTACATTCTTAATTTTTATCTTTGAAAGGATCCCTGGTGTCACTATGGGCTAAGCGTTGGGCTATACACCACAAGGTGGGTGATTCAAATCCACCCATCACACCACAGGAGAAGGTCGAGGCTGTCTACTCGCATAAAGATCGACATTTAGCCGCATAAATGGGCTGTGAGTCAGAATCGACTCAATGGCAGTGATTTTGGCTTAGTGATGCGGGGCACCGGGGCTTGATTCCCAATCAATACACCTCAAGCGCAGCCACAACCTGCCTGTCCATAAAGGTGTCCATGTTGCTAGGATACCGAACAGGTATCAGTGGCGCTTCCAGACTAAGATAGACTCGTAAGAAAAGCCTGACTACTTCAGAAAATCAGCCAGTGTAAACTCCATGCAGCACAGCGGGCAATGGATAAGGCTGACAAGATGGGATCGTGTTTCGTTCGCCAGTAATATGCATCACGATGAGCTGGGAGCCAACTTCCTTACTGTCAGCAAGAACCTGACAGGCGAAAGGAGTTCATTGATACATTTAGTACAACCCCACAAGCTAGGAATCCGTGCACTAACAGGAGGCATATCCTTTTGGAACACAACATTTTCACGGTGAATATATGCCCATGACAAAAAGAAACATCAAAAAGATACCGCTCAGCTCAGAAGAGCCAATGCTCTTCAACATATTCATTACGAGGGATGTTCCCCAGGACATCGACATTTTTGTGATTTGTTCTACTTCCCTTCTCTTCCCTTCCTGGGAACTGCTGGACCAACCCCTGCCACCTTTAGCCTGAAGCGTGGGGGTAACGTTCTCTCTCTCTCTCCCACCCCAGTCCCTCTCGCGTCGGGCCCCTATGTGAAACTCTGTCTGGTTCTCTGTCCGTTGGCTTTGGAGCCAAATGGCGAGTCTTTCGTCCAAGTAGCAGCCGTGACCTCAGTTCAGCAGCCGGCAGATAAAACCTGACCTGGATTTCTGAGAAATTCTGCCTTCTCATGTCAATTTGGCAGCACCCAGAAAGTCTAAGCTCAGGGCTCGATAGTGTAGAAAGAGAAGAGAGTTAACAGCTTGCATCTGGACGCTCACTTGGAAACCAGAAAAGAGCTGAAGTCCCAGCTGGCAGGGGAGAGCCAGGCCAAGGTCATGGGATCCGGATCCGCAAAGGCTTAAAAGAGCACGCCTACTTCTCACCACACTCACCTGCAGCTAGCTGTGCAGCGTGCACTGGATTGGACTCGCCCCAGCTCCACTGCGCCCTCCATTGGCGCAGGGCCCCCTAGAAGTGCGCTGACAACTCCCGGGCACTGGGTGCAGCCTCTCTGCAACGCTAAAAGCTGGGTGAGTGAGGGGCTTGGGTGTGAGGTGAATGCAGGAGAGAGAGCGGAGGGAAGATATATAAGTGTGAGTAGGATTGTCCCTACTGAAGGTTTTGGACACAAGGTACTGAACCTTGTGTGCCCCAAACGTTGGGCTCTCCAGGAAGGGAGACTGTGGCTCTGAAAGGCTATGTGGCTTTTAGAGCTGGGAAGGACCTAGGAGCAAGACTATTGGAAGTGTAAAGTCCCCCTCACCTGGAAACCTGTTAGAAATGCACATACATGGGCCCCACCCCAGTCCTACTGAAGGGGACCCTAGGGATGGGACCATGAAGGTGTGTGTTAAGAAGCCCAGGCATGATACTGAGACAGCCCAAGTTGTGGAACTACTGTCCTGGGGGTCTTTTAGTCTAACTGCTCTGTTTCTAACTTTGAACTGGGCTCTTAGAGACTTCCTCCAAACAGCATTCACACGGCTTGAAGAGATATTCCCCAATTCCTATGTGTACTAAGGAGCCCCTGGGCGGAGCTAAATCATCTTCTGCTAACTGAAGTGTTGGGAGATCAAGCCCACCTAGAGGCACCTCAAAAGCCAGGTCTGACGGTCAATTTCTCAAATCCAGCTATTGCGCACCCAGTGGCACACAGTCTTACTCTGTCACACTTGGGGTTGTCTTGCATGGGAGTGGACTGGTTGGCACTGGAAAATCATGTGCAAGGGCCCACGCCAGTTTCTTTCCGAGTGAAGCGGGGAGTCTGTGGGCTCTCAGCAGCTCCAAGCAAGTGGCATACAGTTTCTTTGATTCTGTTCATGGTAGTTGGGTGTAGTCCTTTAGCCCTCATATGTATTTTGCTTTTCTGTCCTTAAGTGCTGTTGTTATTAACCCAGCTTGTCAGATAATTAGATGTTTAGAATGAAGTCTGCTTACTGTGTGAGTTACCAAACAAGAATCCTTCAGACAGATATGACGCAGGTTTCAATCTTTGGGCTGAAGTTTATGAGGCTACAATGGATAAGTCAAGTGAGTAGGAATCACGAAATTTATTGAATCCAAGTGAAAAAGACTGATTCTTCGCCTTCTCTGCGGTGGGAACCGAGGGTTGGTGCTACCCAGGATAGCATGGTATCGACCATGGTGTCAACGCCACCTCCCTCCTCAGTAATGATTATTATCAATTTTCATCACAGAAGAATATGTGATAAGTGCAGTTATACCATACTTAAATGTAATTGTCTAGATTAAATACCACCAACAAAATTATTTTGTAAAATCTTCCTACATTAAGTTATAACATTACTAGTCACTGAACAGAGTCATTTTTGTTTTTCTTGCTCTTTTCCTTTCATTACTACTTCATTCTCCAAAAATAAAGTTATTGATACAGGTTTAGAAATGCTACCTATCACAATATTGCAGCTAAGACTTCCAGAAATTTGATGAAATCAGCTTCTCTAAAAACCCCAGCAGCAGTGAAGACAACAAGGCGTGCTCAAGCGCATGCGGATGAAATGACATGATTCAAAGTGTCACTGTTATTGAGCAATAATGACAGCCCTGTGTGCATTCAAAGGCTCCAAATGTAAATTAGCCCAGTTGTCACCTTGTATGCGTATTCATACAGGTAAGCTGGGCTTGCAAAAACATGTTTTGGGTTGCACATACAGGGATCTGCTTATAAAAAGTGTGCCATTTCTGCTGAAATGCTGCACACAAAAAATTACGGACAGTCATTTTCCTGTCACCACCTGTGATGGTGTCACCTGCTTTGGTCTGTCCATTCTACTGATGCCGTCTCTGATGAGTCCTGTGCCCATAAATTTAGCTCATGCAAATCCTAACAAGAAATACAGCACTATGGGAAAGTGCCCTCAAAAACATAAGATTGTTGTGTAGGCCCAGGCTCTACTGTTCTTCATTCTCCATGGGTGGACCCCTCCTTTATCACTATTGAGACTCTGGGAAGCGGACTTACTAGCTAGTTGGTGATGGGGGTTTTATGAATGATTTGCTGTAGTTGTTTCTTTGTTTCTGTTACTCTTTTGTTTTCAGTCAGTAGTGGCTTTCAACCTGACATTTAAATTTAATTTAAACTTGACCTGAAATTAAGATACGTTAAGTAGTAGGTGAAGATTAATTACCGATTCATTCTTGAGACTCGGAAGCCAGTCTCTTAGTAGATATTTCTCATTTCCCCTTCTTTCAATGCTAAGACATACGGTCTAGATGTGGCCCTTAACAACATTCATGCCAAACAATCTCTCCGGAGTTCCCCACCTGCTGCCTGGTTACCATGTTGAATCAGTAGGCTCAGGCAGAGAAAACATTCAATTCATTGGACATATATTTAGTTATATAAGTATGCTTTAAAGGAAACTATCAAACAGCCTTGTTCAGAGATTTCAAAGGCTAGCCACCTTGTGTTTGAAACTACTTTGGATATGTCAGTATTGTTGGGAGCCGATGCTAGAAAGGTCCTGAGCCTGTGAAAATAAAGTTTACCACAGTAAATATGTCTCTTTCTGAGCTACATGCAAAGCCTGTGCCTAGGAATCCAGTGGGCATACGCGGAGTGCCCTTCTAAAATGAGTACAAGACGTACAAGGTATGTCCTGTTTTTATGGTATTTCATGTTTGTTTTCCTCTTTCCCGTTCAAATCGCCCTCCAAAAGGGGAGTTTTCACTCTGAGACATCTAGGCAGAACCTTCTAGCTCAGCCACGGGAGGGCAAGGGTTTATTTGTTTTAGCGTTTCTGTTCTCTTGTCTCCAGGAGTGCGGTTCCTGGTTCTGTCTTGGTAAGTGGCGAGAAGGAGGTGGTGAGCACTGGCAAAGCTGGTACCTAAGATGATATGCCACATGTGCACCCACTTCTTGAAAGAAGGCCCCCTGAGGAGCTCTGGGTAGTTGCTGGCTTTTTTTTTTCTTTCTTACTCACGTTGATAGTGTCCTACGGGACAGCTCTGGACACCTGTGGGCTCTTTGAAATCCCATTCTTCAACCCATTCCTTAAGAGTGGATTTTGATGCAAGACTTGATTTCTGAAGAGCTAGTGTCAAACTCCGTAATATCCGACGGCACCAGGTGATCCATTAAGCTCTCTCTCTTTGCTTGGAATAGCTCACTTGGTTAATTAATTCTTATCTTTGGATGGTAACCCAAGATGCTACTGGATCATGGCATTGGAGTTAGATCTCTACAACTTCAGTGCAGTGAAATGGGAGAGAATGTTACCTCTGCCATCGGAGCTACTGCAAACCTGTGGGCACGCCGTGCTGCCTAAGTTTCTTCAACAGTATCATGGGTGGAGTATTAGTTTCCTTACAGAAGTGTCATGAGAATTAGAGATGTGTATGCAATGCTGGTATCTCGTGAGCACGCATGTTAGCCATAATTGTAGAGCTAATCCTCCTACAGCAGTCTTTGGTTGAACGGTCACAAAACTGATCACAACTCAATAACACAGTACACAGGAAGATTACCAAAGAAGGATCTTCTCAGAGATCCTTAAGGAATAGCACCTGAGTTATTTAGTATTGTTGTAACAACCGAAAAACACAGGGGTGAGTGGCTTAAAGAACAGGAATTTACCGTCTCACAGTTTGGGAGGTTGAGAGTTGGAATTCAGGACATCTGCCTCCCAGGCCATTCTCTCTGCTCTGAGGAGATAATTTCTTGTGTATTTCAGCTTCTTGGACATTTCTTGGAATTCCTTAGCTTGGAGACAGATCCTTACATGGTGTCTTCTCTAGATGTGTATGACGCTTAATTGTTATTATCAATTACTTAAATGATAATTAACTTATCATATGAATATTAATTATACTTATAACAATTAGTTTAATACTCTTTGTGTCCTTTTCCCCTTGTTGTAAGACAGCACCTTGTTGCAGTATAGTCTTATTAACATGAAGCAAGAAGAACTCCTATTTCCAAAATGTGTTGGTACAGAGGTTAGGACTAAAATGCATCTTTGGGGAGCACAATTTAATAACAAAGACACGTATAATTCATAATTTTCTTATCTTTTATTCACCAGTTGTTTATTTGTACATGGATGTTGCTAAGCTCTTTAAATATACTTTGACTATCACTTTCTAGAGATTATTATAACAATTATGATTAGGTACAGCTATAAATAACAGTGAACTCAAATAATAGTTTAAACAAAGTACAGACTGATTTTCCCACTCACGCTACAAGAAATACGCAGGTAGACAGGACTGTCTGATAAAGGGGTACCCTGAGTATCAGTAGCCCAGGCTTCTGACCATTATTTTCTATGTTCATAGCATGTAGCTTCTATGTGGAAAATTGTCTGACACCCTGCAGAGGACTGCCGGAGCTCCACCCACTAGGTCTGTGTTCCAGGCAGAAGCACAAATAGGGCCAAAAGTCCTGTTTTTTAAATTGGGTCCGCTGTTTTCTGCATCACTTCACCGACTCCTCTGCTGTGGTGGTTGGGTGGCACCCAGTTGGTTCTGACTCACAGTGACCCTCGGAACAACGCAATGACACACCGCTGGTCCTGTGCGACCCTCACCACGATGCTTATGTTTGAGGCCGTCGCCCCAGTGGCCGCGTTGATCCATCTTGTTGAGGACTTTCCTCTTTGGCACTGCTAGCTCCACTTTATCGAACAGAACGCCATTCTCCAGGGACTGAGACCTCCTGATATCGTGTATAGAGTAGACGAGACAAAGTCTTGCCACCCTTGACTCCAAGGAGTATTCTGGCTGTCCTTCTTTCGAGACAGGTCTGTTTGTGTGTTTGGGGCAATCTACGGTACTTTCAAGATTCTTCTCCAGCACCATAGCTCAAACGCATCAACTTTTCCTCAGTCGTGTCTAACTTTCACAGGCATCGGAGGTGATTGAAAATGCCATGGCTTGGGCCGGGCGCACCTTAGTCCTCAAAGTAACATCCTTGCTTTGCAACACCTTACATAGGCCTCGTCCAGCAAGTTTATCCAGTGCAGTGCCTCGTTGGGTCACTTGACTGCTGCTTCCATGAGCCTTGATTGTG